AAACAAAAACATCACCATCAGCATTTCGGTTCTTCTTCTAGTGACTCGTCGGTATCAGCTGCTAAAAATGCAATTAGGAACTCGGTACGTCGACGTCCTTATACGAGCCTGGGTACAGCGAACGTATACAACGAAGCACGAGTGGATTTGGACTTTTCGCCAAGTGAGCTGCACCCGGAAAAAGAGGTAAACTTATCTGGCGGCTCATTGGCCAATCCTAATAAGCGAGTTCCACAAAAACGGCAACGTATTCATTCTGTGCCCCATACAGCTACCGTCAGCAACTTATTCACCAAAGCAGAAAAGGCGGGGCCAACCATATCTACCTTCGCAAGTAGCTTTCCAATGGAAGTTGGAATCACAACCCCGGCAACAACGACCGATGCGCGTGGAGTTATCGGAAATCGAGGCAGTATTGCCACCTATCCCTACCAAACGTCAGCGCCGGGCTCCGGTTCCAATAGAGCCTCTCAAACCCAAGCCAACAATAGCAAAATCACCAGCAGCGTTTATAGGAATAGACAATTTGCCAGCAATTCAGGGAAGAAGCAAAAGACGCGATTCCGTTCAGCAACAGCAACTACACTTCCAGCACCGGCGGCAGCAGCAGAACCATCCCCAATCGAGCATTCGAACCAGTGGAGTGTATTCAAACATAAACAATCGCCGCCAGCGCAATCCTCACGTGCTCCTCCCTACCATGTAAACTCCGTTTATCGTCCTGAATATGATGCAAAGAATGTTGGCAACGACATCGAAATTAGCTTAACTGATTCACAAAACACGGTTCAGGCATCATCTGGCCCTGGCCCAAAACGGATAAATTATAGCTATCATCCTATTATTGACTTTTTCCAAAATCACAAATACTCTGCAGCTGAGGCAATAGACGAAACAATTTCGGACAAGAGTGAAGAGGTTGCTGACAGAAATGGGCAAATTTTTCCCCACACGATAACAAAGTACCAAACATCAGATCAATCAAAAGATATAAGCAGCTATCAACCCCATGAGCGTCGTATTGGTTTTGGAGCTATGTCAGGAAGTGAAAAAAGTGGCATAGTTTTGCGTGACAGAGCCGGTAGTAGTGTGGAGAGAATTAACAATTCGAATACTGATGACAATACTTGGCATCCGGTTGTCGTGAAGACGATAGGGCTTCCATAATTACTCGAATGCACTACAAACCGCATCTGAAAGATATATTGCCGAATTTGCAAATAAGTGTGACTTTAAAATAATAATTGATAATCTCTTACCCCAATGCCAAGAAATTGTTCGACAAATGCTGCATTAGCGTCTAATTTGTCACCATACTCTCTGGAGGTGGGCACGGAACTAAGTATTTAAACCCAATCCCGCCCATCCCGAAATTCGATTTACATATCGCACTTGGTCTTCAAAAAGAGTCGCAATTTAAAATTTGGCATTTTTGAAATTATGCGCTAAAAATGTACACAGAGCTTTTATTTACCTTTCAGCAAAAGCTGGAGCAAATTTTGATTATGATTTGTTAAAAAAACCTAAGGTAAAGTCGCCCTTGCCCATATGATTAGCATGTGCTACGACATAGTTTTTCGCATTTTCTGACGAACGTATTATTTTGAGTTGTGACCCTTTTGAACACGGTGTGCGATATGTATGAATATGTCCCAGAAAAAAGCAACATTCTAAAATTGCGGTTACAAGTTTGTGGTGAGAAATCATCATTTATTTCAAAAATATTTTAAGAGTCATTTGAATTTTAACAGAAATTTTTGTCTCTAAACAACAATTAAATGTTAAAAATAATAATATTAATGCGTACATACATATGTACATATGTATGTATTTGCAGATCAAACATTTTGTAACAGAAAAATTGTATTGTACCAACAAAAACTGGAACGAAACTTTATTTACTGCTTAAAAAATTTTAACAACAATCTGCATGGATATAATAAGTGCAAATGTGCATTAATTTTTAATGTTTTAATGACGATGACGGAATATTTATTATCTGCTTTGACAGTTACTGAAGACGCATTTGTATATTTGGCGGAAGTTTTCAAAAAATCTGATATGTCACTTGAGTAACTATAGACTTATCACACATACATACATACATACACTGTCGGAACAAAGTATTGGCACATCAAATTTTTCGCAATATATGCAACAATTTTAATTCTAATATTTTTCCCCTAATTTCGTATAAAAATATGGTTTATTCTACAACAAAAAACATCAAAATACAATTCCTAAACTGTGTGCAAAACTCGCGAAAATTCTCAACTTTTTAATCAGATTTTTTTTTTGAGTATGCAGATTTGTAGCCCAATCAATTTTATTGCAATAAAGTGCAAGTTCTAAGTAGCTAAGAACTACTGTTGATTTTTGGTAATTTTTTTTTTCACGCAGTCTCTTCCATACAAAAAATTCTTTTCGAAAATACTTTATATGGAAAAAAGTTAGTCAGTTAGGCTGAACACATTCTACTTGCCAAGCTTATTAATTGTTTGATGAAATCACCGTCCTCCGACGTTTTTAAGGAAGAATTTTCGAATTTTTGGAAGTTGCAGGTTTTTCGAGAGTTTTGGGAAAGAATTTCCGTTCCGTCCCGCACGTAAATTTTTAAGGACCGTCTCAATCCTTCCATCCCGGTCCTTTTGAAATTAGTACCGTGGGTGGTCTCGAGAATCCCGCCGACCCGCTTCCCGCGCCCATCTCCAATACCCTCCTTTACTAACATCTTTTACTCGTATAGATTTACTGTAGTACGTAGTTATTTATTTATTTATTTACTAAATTATTTATTTTCCTCCTCTTTGTATACTAAATAGATAGATACATACATAGTACATATTTCTAGACGCGAATGTATTTAAATGTACATACATACATACAATATTAAAAAAAAAAAATACTACAAACCAATTTCAGATGTACATATGTATGTGAAATGGGAATTAATTATGCATAGTTTTTATATTAAGATACTTCACATACTTATTTATGATAATAAAATTAAGAATTTCATACTTGCATATGCCCTTTGTTGTAACGTAAATATGTATGTTACCAGTTTAGAGAAAATTTAAATTTTTGGTAATCCACAGCGGAGCAAAGTCTGAGTATGAGGAATTCCAAGGATTTGGGTTAGTATGTTGAGCCCTAAGCGTCAAAAAAAACGTAAGCCACAGTGTTTTCAAAAGTTTCGTTCTCTTAGAGCATCCAACCATTTATAAATCAAAAAGAAGTATTTGAAAAAATGTCGTTTATGATTTTTTGACGGTGAAGGCTTGATATGTATATAAATACGTCAGAAAAAAGGCTTCGTACGTCTTCAAGAGATTTTGTAAAGAAATTTTATTCAAATATATATTATATTTCAATGAAATTACGAAATATGTATATTAGGGATAAGTGCATATTAACTTAATTTAATTTACAAATGCCCTAACCAACAATTTTTTCGAAACTGCGTTTTTCACAGAGTTTATAAGAAAATATTGAAATATACCTTTGATACAAATTTTAAGGTGCTAGTACCAAAAACAACGGATATTATATGCCACTTTTCTTGATTGTATTTTTATGATGTTTTTTTGCTTCTCCTGTAAAATAAAAAAATTGTTGGTTAGGGCCTTTTTAATTGACGCAACGATATGTACGTTTTAAAACCATCGTCACTGTAGGAATAGATTTTTTATCCCGCGTCGGGAGCATAACCAAAACTCACGCTTAAATAGCATATGAATCTATTGATCTTAACTTTATTTCCACACTCCAAAGTTAACTAAAGCCCCAAAAAAAAAGAAATAATTTGATAATAACACAGTGCGACAAAAAGAAATCACGAAATACAGTCAAAATAAAACTCAGTGCAGGTTGTGGATATGGTCGAGTATCACGATTGAGAGAATACAATGGTTGCGCCGATCCCGCACCGCTATTCCTCTCTTAACGAATTTGATAGAATCGTTGTTTGCAGGACGTCACACTTGTGCAACTTGTTTACGTTTTCCTTGCAAAATTCTTTCTTCTTCTTTCATTCTTGCTCACGTTTTGGCATTTATCTGTCGCAATTGCACCAGTGTGACCTCACACAAAATTTATTCTCAAAAATCCTCTCTGATCGGCGCAATCTTGTATTCTATCAGTCTTGGTCGAGTATAGGGTAAGAACTCTCTCTCTCTCTCTCTTCTTATAAAAAAAAAAATTAAAAATAGTTAAGCTGTTAACAGTTTTGTCACTTCAGAAACCAAATTAGTGGTAGTTTATTAATAAAAACAGTGATAGACCTCTAACACAGTGTGGTAGAATATTTGTAAATATTTAAAACATTTGTAAACTTTTTATTCCTCGAATTACATTGTAGTAACGTAACAACTTTCCAAAAATTATATATCAAGGCATGAAGTAGTATTCAATTGTAGATAAACTAGACTCTCAGTTCGATCTTTGACAAAGTTTACAAAACTCCGCATTGTCCAAATGCTTAAATTTTGATTTTTTTTTCAGTTACGTTAAAAGTACTTGTGGTGTGTAAAAGGCTTTGGTGGCAGTTTTTTGCGGCAGATCAAAATAGAATAAAATAAAAATATAAAGGACTTAAACTGCATTTACATGAGTCGATTCGACATCGCATCACCAAAAGCCTGTGTAAATGATGTTTCCACTTACTAGGCAGCAAAGAAATCGCTTGCCCGAAGTTGGCCGTAGGTCAACTATTGAAAATCAATTTTTTCTCCATAGAACCCTTATTATCTGCTAGTGAATATGAGAATTCTGATAATGCGGTACAACTTGGCAAAAGGTGGTCGGCTGTATTATTTTGACCACTGTATGTATTTTTTTTATATATATATTTAATTGGACATGCATATTGTACATAAAGGTATATACATAACAAAATTTAAAATTAATATTGTCTTTTTTTGCCTTTCTTCATAGCTAATTCTGCCTTTTTTCAAATTTAAAATTCAAACCCTGGTTATTAACATCTTTTTATTGGAGACGCTACATTTTAAAGAGACGGTGCCACCTTTTTAAAAAGTTAAAATCAATTAGTTAATAAAAGTTATAAAAGTTAAGTAAAAATAAGTTAAATAAAATATTACTAAATCGGTTCCAAAACAATTTATTTCGCAAATATATCCTAAAGGGGCTGCCACCTGTTAAAATTTAAAATTAATTAATTAATAAATTTTGAAATCGAAGTCTTCCAATCGGGATGAAATTTACATTCTTAAAAAAAATTTAAACTGAAAACAAAGTTCTTCGCTTCAGTTTTATTTTTATCAGAAATATTTTTAATTTTTTTTCAAAGAGGGTTAATTTTTTTTTGCTTAAAAGAAATATGAGGTATTTTTATTTAAGGTCTTTGTTTGCAAAGCTATTAAGACAGGGTTTGGATGCACAAAATCCAATACCTGCTGTGGTTACCAAGATCACCCTTAACTACCGGAATTTTTATGCATTCATGCAGGCCTATAGTATTGTGGATATTGCAGTATAGCCGGTATGAAGCTTTAATTAGACATATTATATACTGTTGCAAAGGTAATTGTATCTTGTTTTTCATATAAGGTTTATTTTCAGGTTTTAGAAATACTTACGCAATAATACCAAACAATTTAAAATAGGTCATATATTAAAGAGACGGTGTGGCTTTTAAACACTGTTTCGAGTTACTAAAGGCTTATCTTTATAAATAAAAAGCTTTCTTTTAAGCAAAAAAAAAAGTGAAAAATTAATCCTTTTAAAAAAAGTAAAAAAAAATCGATTTTAAAAAATTTGTCACTTGAGGTGAAATGCCCCATATATCATATTTTTTGGAGCGGATTTAAAAGTCAAATCCAATTTTTTCATAAGTTGAATCGAAACAGGCGTCCACCATTGGCGTCAGTTGGCAGAGAAGAGAAACTACTGTCATGCTTTGTTGAACTCGGCCCAAATCGCTTAGGCGGTTACAGCGGTCAATAAGAATTTACGAAATTACTAATTTTTTCATTGTCACTCGAAGAAATCATAACAAAGAATCTTTTAATAACTTTGGTAAGTTTTCAAATAGAATGTTAATGTTTGAAGCAATGGACGTAGGCATCAAATACAACATATCTGTGAAGTGACAAGAGTGCACCACGAAATTAAAAAAATGGCAGCATGCAGAATATCTGTCGCAGCCATTTTGTAATTTTTAAAATTTTAAGATTTTTTAATATTAATAATTTAATTCAACAATTTTTATGAGCTTGAGGCCGTTTTAAGTGAAAAGCTTAATGTGGAAAAGCAACAATTATTTGAAAAAAATGGTAGAAGTGATAGCTATTTCGGAAATCACCTTATTTCCTCGTCAGACTTCTTTCAGTATGATTCGAACCGACGATCACCACTGACTCAGCCAGTTGCCTACGCACTGTGCTAAGTTTGCCTTGCTGCTTACCACTACACAACAGCGGCCGCCTAGTATGTATACTCGAACATAAATAACTGCGTCTCGGTCAGGCTGTTTAGAGAACTTTTCTTTGTGGGTGCAACTCAAACCAACTGCCGACCGCCGAGTTTATCAATGCCGAATTTTAACAGCCAAAATTAATCATTTCACGGAACCCTTGTGACCCTCGTTGGAAAGGTATTGAACTACACTAAGTGTGTCGGGTGTACCCATATAATTCCTTAAATCGACAAAAGTAAAAAAAAAATTAAGAATTCGGAGGATCGTTTATAAAACTTGAATACACATCTTTACACACCCTGCAAGACCTTACCAACGATACGTCAAGCATGTAGAAAAAGCTTCCTACTCTCGTGTACATATATATTTAGTACATACATATGTACATATAAGCGGGGCAATTTTCAGCTCGCTACTGAGGCCGCTTTCGTATTTTTACTGTGGGCATATGTAGCCTATCGCAGCTTAAGTAAAGCAGAGCATTCGCGGGCTTAGTTAAAATGCCTTGCAGTCCACGAACAAAGTGCACTTCCGTTTTTTTCATTATTGCCTCGACAATCTTATGTTCCCTCTAAATTTTCAATGCATTTGCTCTGCATTTTCTCTCGCTTTGCCAGTTTATAACCAACCGGCTGTAGCCGCACTATTCATTGGTTACCATTTTTGTCAATTAGACAGTGATTGGGAAACTGAAAATGCACGAAAACGTTTTATAAATTCCATGCAAGACCGAAATCGCGCAGTCGAAGTGTAACGTATGTGCAGTGCAGATGTTGAGGTAACGGTAAAAGTGAAAATTTCAGTGCTCAAAGACAATGCGAAACTCTGTTTGTATATTTGCGTTGAATCTTCTTTGTCTGCTGCATTCGTGCCGCACTCGAAAAGTGGATGAACTATTAACTGAGCTCAATAAAACTCCTCCTCCCTCGTCTTACCGTGTATCAGCACCAAAGCTGAAACAACCCTTAAATAGGGTACCGGCCCACCTTCAAGACATTGGGTATGTTTATGAAGACGCAGATGATGTGATTCATATCATTGAGCCTCCGCAACGATTTCAGTTATTGAAACGGCTCGTAAGTCAGACGGAAAGCCCACGAAAGCTAAGGATTACTCGCGTGGAGTCAATGAACCATTACAGTTTGCCAAAGCCAATGGCAATGACAGCCGCCACGGCCGAAATATTCAGTGCATCGAAATTCAAAACGAAAGTGAAGAAAATGCCCGAATCTACGGTTAAACAGCTGCAACCAGTGAAGCAACAACTCGGAGGAGGCATAAAAGTAAATCAACCAGTCAAACTGCTTCATACGCGCGCGCATAATAGCAAACCAGTATTCAGCAACGATGACTCTATAGACTTAGTGCCACAGGAAGCACAGACATTGGCAATGATGTCGCCACCGCTGCCACTGCCGCGCGAAATTTTAGCGTCCGTTCGTAAAACAGAGCGACTGCTTCAGCAGCAACCACAACCAAAACAGCATTTGCATCGAGTTACCCAGCGTCAAAAAAAGCTCGCAACCCATACAGTAGTTATTGGGCAAGCTTTCGAACGTAACAAATTTTATCGAACCACTGATCATAAAATAATGGACGAAAAATTACGAAAATCCCGCGTTCGTCGTGAAGTACGTAACATTCCTATTCATGGGGAATCTTTCGCAGGAGCTCGAAGGACTGACAAGCTACCATCCGCGTTAGACGTCCTCAAAAATGCTAATTTGGATATCCAAAAGGGAACCAAGTTACTTCTGCACTTAGATGAGTTATTAAAAAATGCCAGCTTATATTTGCCTGATAAAGGCGAAGTTGTCGAATTGAGTGAAAAAAGCAACAACTCTAATAAGAGCTTTTTAAAGAGTATAACTAAATCTGATGCTACAAATCCATTGGAACAGAGATTCTCCCCCAGTCGAAACCAAAGTGCAAATAAAAGGCGGAGAATATTCACTGACGTAAATGTAAACAAACAAAATGCACGCACAAATCTAGCGCTGATAGAGGGCGCAAACAAAACTAATTATAATCAATTTACAGCCGGTTCTCTTCTCTACGATGATGTCATGTCCAATATTCGAAACATGCTGCATACGAAAAATCGTCAACTCTTAGAGGATCAACAAAACAGCAGCTTTAATGGAAGGAAAGTGACAGTGAACTTCAACGGTTCTCTGCCCCTTTTACCCATTGATAATGGCGAGCCAATAGAAGTGAAGCAATTGCAAGAGTATATTTATGAGCTGCAGCGTATTTCAAAATCTTTACAAAACCAAAACACCGACGTTTCATCGGCGCCCACACAACAATCAGAGCAATCTGCGAATATGACTGACTCACCTGACTGGTACCTGATTACTTCCCAGGGCTCAATTTATGAAGCGCGGTCGCGATCCAAACCGAAGCCAACCACATCGTTTTTTCATCGCTTCCCCGATATACCAGTAAAACGGGGCGTAATGGTGAATAATCAGACATTGCTCTCTCCGCACGCGACACTAGCCTAAAAGCGCAGTTTCCCACAGATGTAAAAACGGAGAACGTGTCAGCTGGTACGATTTAACTTATGGGATCTGCGTGTTAACAAAAACTCATCACCTCATGAGACCGTGATGTAGACGTTGATTCTCTCTCTCTATCGACAGCAAATTTTATATGTTTCTACGTAGAAGAAGAGAATTTGTCTCCCATGCAATTTTCCTCTTTTATAATTTGCTGTGTAACTAGTTTTACTTAAGAAACAATATCCATTTGACGAATGTTGGGGATCGAACTGAAGTTTGATAACAAAAACAGCTTTGCCCTCCTTATAAAACTTTACGATGAAATTTGCTGAACTATTTTTTATATCTGTTCTATGAAAACTCTGATTGAAAGCTTCAAAGCCGTTTTTCGTTTTGTTTTTGATTGTTTCTAATTATGATGTTTTTCAAGCAAGCGAGCGACATACATATGTAAGGTTTACATACCTACTTATAAATATGGTCGATGCCTTTGCAAAACCGACCATCGAACACTTGCAAAAGCGCCAAATTCGCCGTTGTGGCAAAGATTAGATTCGCTCTCCCTGAACGTTAGACATCGAGAACTATGCATAAAAATCGTAAAATCATTATTATTTAGAGCAACAGATTTGTAAAATAAATATGTAATAGCTAGAGAAAATACCGCCTATCAAGGCAATGCCTTCAAAGAAGAACCGTTTTTTCTGTCTCCTGTAAAATTTGAGTGCCGAGTGAGATAGGCGGTTTTGCAATTGGTCGATGGGCGATTTTGTAAAGGAATCGACGATATGAACTTATAAGTACAAAGCTATTTGTAAGCATAAACTCAAACGCAAATTTCTCAAATACTCAGTTTTTCGTAAAACCCTAATTTATTTGCTCAGAGACTAACTTACATGTGTAAATGCTAAGCAGTAGCTACATACAAACATATCTGCAAATATTTTAAACATGTAAATAAAATTATTTATATTTCTTACTATAAACAATTTATTAACGACAAGGCAGTTATCTGGAGTTATCTTTGCACTCACAAGGTAAGCTATTAAATGAAGCATTTCTTAATTATCTGCACAGGCCTGCGATTGTTTCCCCCTTAAAAAATCAGTTAGCAATTTGGGTAGGTTTAAGATAGTAAGCTACAAAAATAATAATAAAAAACTCCATCACGTAAAGCACGTCATAAGTTATCTGATTACACAGGGATGCGTGGTGTACCCCATAAAAAACCAAATATTTGGGTAGGTATTGGGTACTACGCTACCCAAAAATAGTAAAAAAATTCCATCGCGTAAATTTTTCGGGAAAACTACTCTATCACTTTTCTTAGCGTTGCCGCTTATTAGTAGTATTTTTCTTCGGAATAACAAAAGTTTAATCAAAGCGCTGCACAAGAAATGTTTGTACTTCAGGGGCGTATTTTCGTTATCCGATTTTGTTTTTTTTTTCGCAGAGCACGTTTTTATACCAAACGAACCCATCTAGGAGGAGTCTTGCTTTGGGGGTCAAAGTTGAAAAACAAGGCGCACCCTAATATACAAAGATACTTACATACATATTTAATGTAATAACTTCTCACCAAATATAAATTAAATTGTTGAAATCGCAAACAGACAGCAAAGTTAAGAAAATATAATGAAAAGGAATGCCAAAAATGCGAAAAAAACTTGAATCGACTTGACGGCTCAGGGGTACCTGGACCCTCTCCCTAACTTCTCACCACCTTCGCCAACAAGCAAGCAGACTTGAAATCAAGAATTGAACTATGGGAAAGGCGGCGCATGCCGCTCTTACTTCAACTCTTAAATTTATGTGTTTTCTTGTATGTGTTAGAATAACATTCACTAGTTTGAATATTTATTTATTATGCTCATCTAAATATATGACGCAAATTAGAATGTTGCATAAATTACAACAAATTCGTGTTAAGGAGAAAATACTTATAAAGGTTTTAAATAACTACTAGCAAATACCCGGCGTGCTTCACTGCGCCTTAAAAGTTTTTTTTTGTGCTGTTCGATACCCGTATTGTAATTCATTTGCTTGACCTTGGTCTGTCGGTCCAAACAGGAATCTTTATTTACGGTTGATGGATAGCTCGTTTCCAATGGATGGTGGCAAGAAAGTGGCTGACTTACGTGTAATGATTTTGTATTACCCGCTTGTGGTGACTCAATTGCTGTCAAATGAATAGTCCAGATTTGATGCTCACAATTTCTTTATTATACGCAACAACTTGGCTGGGGATTTGCCGGAAGGAATGTGACGGCACCTTTTGCCTCTATTAATTTCCACTGAGGGGTGAGTATCGACTCCCCGAATGTCGCCAGCTTTTGATACAAGTTTTTAATCCACTTTAATTACTTGGTCGTAATTCCGTTCTTGCGAGGGCTGATGAGTGTGGTTCGCTCCGTGTCCAATTCCAAAAAGA